CCCGAAGGGGTAGGCAGAGGTGCACATTACGCCACTGTATAATGTAACACCCACTTTTCACTATCCATGTTATGAGTCCCATGTAATTGGGGGTGTGCCTATTGCCATATGCCGGGCACAATTTCAGACTCTGTGCTACTACTGAGATTTTTTAAAAACCCAGTCATACTTTGCCCGACCCGGGTATCGAACCCGAGACCCCTTGCCCGGCAGTCGCACTTGCGACCACTCGGCCAACGAGGCAGTCATTAACTTATTAAGTGTTATTAGTCACCTGTTTCTAACTACACAGGATAACTTATTCCATGCTTTAGTTAACTTCCTCTTGAAATCTCAATAAAATTCAATGGCATTGTTCACACATACTTACGACCTTCTTCGTCAGTTTTATTATTTTTCTTAATTACTTTATTTACACTTTTCAGTACGCTGCAGCAGTAATGTGGGTTTGTACAACAGTAATAGCCCTGCTCATCATATACTCCTCGTATCCCATCATGCAGCTGGATTGGAATAACCAATTCGCTGATAGCATGATCAATTCCTTCATGAGACCTGCCTGGGCCATGTTCATTGGATGGATGATATTCGCTTGCGAACATGGTTATGGAGGTATGTACCTACTATTTTAGGGGTGGTATTTAATACTTTAAACGTAAATTCCCTTTTTTATTAAAAATAATTGAAATTACCACCAAAAATACTGAATTGCACACTAGATTTGCTTATAAAATAAATCAATTACTTATACTAATTCGTAATCTTACCTAACCTATTTTGTAATTATAATAATTCATAACCTAACCTAACATAACCTATTTTGGAAATTTCGTTGTAATATTGAACAATTTGTGTGCAAATCAGTATTTTTGTTTTACGATGTAATATGTATCTAGTTAATTTGTAGTACTTACAGTAATTTTTTTGATATGCAGTAGGTTATTAGTGGAGAAATTTGGTTTGCTTAAATTTCTAAATAGAGGTGCAGTAATTCCTCCTATTTTAGTTACTTTACAATTTACATCCATTCTAAAAAAAGTTCTTATGTTTATTTTTTAATCACGCCTTATCTTCCCGAAGGATTTTTTGTCACAATGCACATAATGGTCCATATACCCACCTCTGTTTCTCGTCCACCGTCCACCATCAATGGAGAATGAGCCTATCAGTCGGGCACAATTCCCTCCAGACTCTTGCTTGCTACTCACCTCCCTTTGTCGTCATCTTTGGTGGTGTTATTAGTCCCTTGTAATGGCAGAATGAGCTTATCAGCCGGGCATAATTCCAGACTCAGTGCTACTGAGAAATTTTCGAATAACCGAAAACATTCCAATAATAGGATAAATGCCTAATTGTTATTTTACTGTTCGTCTGGTAGATTATTTAACAACATTAGAGACGTATTTTTTTATTTTCTTACAGAAACGAATACTTTCGACGATAGGTATATTGATTTGAAATGTCGCGTGACGTCACTTCTATGTATATTTTATCCGTAGAAATAACGTTTTAACCCCCACTCCTAAACTTTGATTCATTTAATTTAAGTATTGTTGTATTAAACGACAAAATAAAAAAATACGTGTCTAATATTTTTTCATTACTTAACTTACGGACTAATTATATTTTTAATTTTCATACCCTGTCATCAACCCAATTAGGCAATTATCATTCATTAATTGTTAGAAGTTTTTATTGTACCTATTAGACATTATACTTAGGAAAAGTAATAATTATGATATTGTATTTCTATTTCAGGACCTGTAAACTGGGTTCTATCCCTCCGTGCCTGGAAGGTTTTAGGACGTCTGTCCTACGCTATGTATCTGGTGCATTACCCACTTATGTTCGTCGTACTTGCAATGCCGATTGTACCAATTTATTTCGATGTACAGTTTTCGGTAAGTTATTTTGTTTTCTTTGTCTAATCTCTACAAATCTTTTAAATAGAATAAAAGAAAGTAACATAACATCACGCCTTTTATCCACGAAAGGGTAGGCAGAGGTGCATATTACGGCACTTAATGCCACTGTACAATGTAACACCCACTTTTCACTATTTATGTTATGAGTCCCATGTAATAGGGATAAAAGAAAGTAGAATAAAAGAAAGTAACATAACATCACGCCTTTTATCCACGAAAGGGTAGGCAGAGGTGCATATTACGGCACTTAATGCCACTGTACAATGTAACACTCACTTTTCACTATTTATGTTATAAGTCTCTAGTAATAATTACATGCCTTTGTTCCTGAATATTTTTTTTTTACAATATGTATAAAAACAGTAGTTTTATTATAAAGTAGAAATTCAACGAACAGTCCACTATATAACAAAACTGTATGTAATTACAAAATATAGACCTTCTTTCAAATATCTATGATTTGAGCTCCCTCTATTCAAATTCACTAGAACTTATAATAATTTAACGCTAGCATATACCCACCAAACAGGCTTTGATCACGAGAATGTTGCCTTCAAGGCAAACCGCACTTAGTTCACTTCTACGCTAACAGATGGCTCTTATGTCAAATTATTTTTTATTAATAAAAACTAATTTGAAAGTTATAAACATAACATCACATCACGCCTTTTTATCCCCGAAGGGGTAGACAGAGGTGCACATTATGAAAGTTATAAAAAAAATAAAGTTAAGTTATAAAAGTAATTTTAAATTAAATTATTATATTAACCGGCCAGTTTCACAATGACTTGACAGCCTATATACCAAATTAATTTGAATTAAGAACGTAATTCTTCTGACCTAGGTATATATTTGTCACCGTTTATCGGGTATACCTAGAGGTATAATAAAGATGGTGAAGCAGACAATTAATAAATAGTGATTAGCAAACTAGGAATTTTTTTTGGTTTACACAAGTACTAAGATACGTTTTTTTGTCCATTTCAGATATACAACTTCTTTGCTGACTTCTTATTGGCGGTGGTAGTAGCATTTATAGTTACTATCCTGATCGACTCGCCGTGTTCTGTTCTCATCAAACATTTTATGGGAGGAGGTATGTTTTTAGTTATTAGTACCTTTTTTATTACGAGAGGAGACCTTCAAAAGGCACCTAGATTTTTGGGTAGAAAGACTAGGAAATGTGGTATTCTTATCTCGTTGTAACCAACTTGTGGGCCATCTTCAGCATCAGTTAGGGGCACAAGGTCTTCAAATAATCCGGCTCCGGATTCTCCATGGTGCAACGCCTTACGGCACATTCCTTAGGAGACCTTGCGTCTCTCTTGAGCTAGTATGGTTTGAAACTAGTAGAATTCCTCGTCAAATAATTACGTGAATAAGCAAAAATAAATAAATAATAAAAATAGTTACCTAGCTAATTTTAATAAATTGTGGGTTTCTCATAGCATTTATTTTTAAAATTATCATATTTATTTTAAAAAATGTAAACAAAAAGATTTATGATTTTGCTTTCATGTTTTCAGGACCAAAAAGGCCACCACAGCAAACTGCTCCAGCGATAGAACCAGAAATGGTAGAAAAAGAGTTGAAAACACAATCATAAAATAATTACTTGATAACCTTTAAATGATATAAACTTTTTATTATTAAAAATGACTGTTAATATTAGTTTATAAGATAAGTTACAAAAAAGGATAAAATAATAAATAAAAAGATGTTTCACCATACATTTTTATTTTTATGACCCCACCACAATCACTTATTAAATAATACATGATAAAAATAAATTTTATTTACTTAATGTATACGATAGTTACAATCTCATTTTATATTTTTTTATTTTTAATGCTCACGTTGATAAAAAAGTAAAAATTCACAATTATTTTTTTCTATTATTTTTAAAACATATTTTACGTATTATTTTTAGTTTATGATAACCAGTTATACGAAATTATCAAATGAAAATTACTATTCTACACATCGTTTCACTCAAGGACATTGAATAAAAGGCGAATACAGTCTCATAAAACAACAACTGTATCTCCTGTGCCTTTAGCAAAACACCACTTTAGCGGGACGACACTGACAAGTGTCAAAATTTACCTCAATTCCATATAATTTGGTTTTCTATTCTACAAATAGACAAGCGCTAAGTGGCATTTGGCTACAGCTGTTGGTTACTTTAAACTTACACATTGACACGAAGGACATCTGACATTTTATTAAGTCTACTAACGTGGTAACCCATTGCACACATAAAAAACCATTGAAATTATGCTTTAATCACTTCTAAGTGATATTATGTCCGTCTTATTATCAACGTCCTTGGTGTCCTCAAGTGGGTCAGAATGAGTCTCACGAGAACATAACATAACACCACGCTTTCTATCCCTGAAGGGGTAGGCAGAGGTGAACATTATGCCCCTGTACAATGTAACACCCACTTTTCACTATTTAGGTATGTTATGAGTCCCATGTAATAGAGGGTGAGCCTATTGCCATATACCGGGCACAATTCCAGACTCCGACTGAGAATTTATAAAAAAAACAGTAATACTTTGCCCAACCCGGGAATCGAACCCGAGACCCCTTGCCCCGGCAGTCGCACTTGCGACCACTCGGCCAACGAGGCAGTCTCATGAGAACAGTTTAATAATAAATTATTTGGCAAGCATTTGTTTCATTATCATTATCAATATAATCATTATCGCATCACAATTATTATTTTAACTATCACAGATATCTCAATACATAATTATTTGTTACAGTTTTAATTATGGTATAAGTTACTAGACTCTATTTTACTACAACCTCAAAGCAAGGTAAAAGATGAAATGAAGGAATTTGTAGTACTAAGAAATCACATAACATAACATCACGCCCTTTATCCCCGAAGGGGTAGGCAGAGGTGCAGATCACTTAATGCCACTGTACAAAGTAACATCCACTTTTCACTATTTGTGTTATGAGTCCGAAGTAATAGGGGGTGAGCCTATTGCCATATACCGGGCACAATTCCAGATTCCGTGCTACTACCGAGAATTTTTTTAAACCCCGTAATATTTGCCCGACCTGGGAATCGAACCCGAGACCCCTTGCCCGGCAGTCACACTTGCGAACACTCGGCCAACGAGGCAGTCAAACGAACTAAGAAATCAAGATGACGAAACAACAAGACTTGTGTCTATTAATTACTCATGATATGTGATTTAACCTATTGTCTGTCGATATATGAGACAATTGCTAACACATTGTGCTTCGCGTAGATCTGCGTCCCGACACTTCACAGGTTAAAATATTTTCATTATTAAGTTCTAGGATTTTAAAGTCCTAGTTGATAATAATACATATCGAATTCTGTAAACTTAGTGAATGTAAATATACTTTAATCGCCTCTAATGCCACGCATAGTTACATATAATATATTAGCCAGCGTTAAAGCAATAGCAGATCTCATTTTTATAATTAATACAAAAGCAACAAGAAAAAAATTCTCACGTTCCACCACAAACCGAACAAAACTACATATATCTATATAAATTAGTTAAAATTTTTCTCCACAACGATCTCAAAACTCTGGCAAGATAATCGTAATATTGTCACTAGTCGAGATCACAACAAAAGATTTAAATAATTTTCTGTATTCATAATTATAAATACTGTCTAATCAAAATAATTATCTATGTTTCAAAAATTTACTAACATAACACATGAATTTATTTGAAAATTCATTTGTTAATCGGTACCTTAATGCGAGGTACGCTAGTGACCTATGAAGAACGGTAAAACCTAGTAAGCCAATGACTTGAATTATATAGGTATCCCCTTCCATGCCTAAATCCCTTATTAATAGCTTTGGTTCGGAGTATAGGCAGAATTCTTGATTACATTCCATCTTCTGTCTGTTCTGGTAGAGAGCTATTGAGAATCCTGTCACGCCGTATCGTAGGAAGGAAAACGACATAAGGGCTTTCATTGTGCTCTCGATGTAGGGTCCGAAGCCCATACCATAGCAGGATAAGGCGAGAAGAGGAGCCGCAATTGCTGGAGCCACAATGGAGCCGTTCTGTAATATAAACATGAAATTATAAAACTGCCAGAAAACAAAACAAAGCAGGGCCTTTAGCTAAACGCCACTTTAGCGCTTGTCTATAGAGAGAGTAGAAATCAAAATGTATGGGGATGACACTGACAAGTGTCAAAATTTACGTCAATTCCATATAATTTGGTTTTTTTTCATGTTTTACCATGGACGTATTATAATATAATTTTACCTTCATATTTTTATGTAGACAAGCGCTAATGGCATTTGGCTACAGCTGCTGATATTGTAGAATGTAAATAATTCCCGTAATACTGTTGTAAATGGTTTTGAGAAACGTTGATAATGATGCCATTGGTTTGGCTCACATCACGTCATTGTCTCATCAACAGCTTATAAGCGCACACAGCTGAGCATAGCCGTATTTTCGGACGGAGAAGGTTCAAAGTCAAACCATTTATTTCAATTAATCGTTGATTAAATATGTACTTTTGAAGTCAAATTGAAGTTAGTGAAGCTAGATGATCGTTCCAAAGTGTAGTTTCGAATGGAGAAAAACGAACAAGAAACCCCAGCGTTAAAAAGAAAAGGAAAGGTTTAACTTTAATAACAATAGTAAATTAAAAATAAGTCCACGTTCTCTCACGATGTTTACTGGACGCACGGAGTACTCGTCTCACCCGAAAAAATGGCTTAACGAAATTAATTTAAAAAGTAATTATGTACTCACAGTAACGTTGCAAGCAGATCCTACAGCTAACCCAAGTCCTTCAGAGCACGTAGCTATGAGCAAACCACTAATAGCAAACAATATGAAGCGATCCCATTCCAGTAGCTGACCAGACATCAAATAGGAAATAACCAGGAATATCATTCCAAGAATTATCTGAAAAGAGAATGATTATTTAAATTTCTTGAAACTTGGCTTTTACAAAACGAGCAAAAAGGATTTATAATTGATAATTCATTTATTTACACTAAAAATACATACAACTGCAAATAGTATTATAAATTGAATAAAAACTCTCACATATGAAGAGACCGAGACATTTCTACAACAGATTAAATAGTTAGACAAAACGCACACGCACTCATACACACACTCACACACACACGCATTCTCAATCATTCTCACACATGCGCGCGCACATGCGTCCACAAACTTTGTCCCTTCTTCCATTCCCCCTGTATTACCAAATTGCACTGTTATAGCCAGAAAATAAGGTTTTATTGATATTTTTTTTGTAACTTTTTTAATTGTATACCTACTGTTATTGTTAATTTTGTAAAAATGTCTAAGGAGAAGCGGGGTCTCCTAACACAGGCAGTGGCGTGCACAGGTTTTCGAGACAGGGTAGGCAACTAAATATCGTATGATTAAACCCCTCTCCCCCCGCCGGTCATACAATCATGCTCACACAAGATAGGTACATGTACATAATACATTTCGAAAAGTGCGTTCAAGAATATTGTGGTGTATTCTTTCGCCAAATTACATACACTGACAACTCGCGTATTTTTTGTGAAGTACTTCATCAGCTATTGAATAAGCCAACAAAACTTACAAATAATGAAGGATCTATTATTTATTTTAATAATAAGGCATAAATTTGATGAACCAAATTTCATTATGGAATTGTTTAGTTTAATCAATCTGTTCAAAATCATAATATATTACGAATTTAAGAGCGTAGGTACCTACATTATGTCAACAAACAAAACAATAACAAGCGCGGCCGGCTGTGGCCGAGCCGGCCGAGTCTATGCGGTACATATGTTATTACTACATTACATAATTATTAATAATAAATTAATATGTGAATCAGTACAACCCGAAGTCTAAGTTGATATTTTTAAGAATTATCAAACAATAAACAAGAAAGTCAAATAAAAGATCCATTATAGTACATATTTACATTACCTACCTTTTACTTGGGTCAATTCTCGTAACTCGAGTACACCTCTGCCTATGGTCTTTACCTGAATCTAGTCCGATAAAGGACATTTTCTTGCGAAATGTTACTGTTTTTACTTTCAACAAACACATAAAATTACCTATTATTCACACACACTTCACAATCGAATAATATAGGTACTTGTACTAGAAACTGATAAACAAATACACTATTTGAAAAACCTACACATATATTTAACTACTACTACACATTTATGCAACTTTATGTTTAAAACTAATTCCTAATAATTTAAACGAAAACATAAACAAAGCGATCGCACATCACATGAAAACAATATGGCCGAAAACATTGGAAACGAATTGAAGTCATTACCAATAGTCAATTGAGTGTTTATTATAAAAAAATGTAGCTTAAAAATTAAGGTAATGCAGCGTTTAATTTAAAAAAAACAAAGGTTAATTTAGTAAGTCAAATGAAATTGCATCATCGTCTTAAACCAATATTTCATACTAAAAAACATTCATTCATATAATTTGAAACGTTGTAAATGGCGCCATCTTGAAGTTTCAATAACTTCCTTTTAACTTTTATAATAATAAAGTCAACTCCTCGTTTAAAATTTCTATAAACCTACAACGCGTAAAAATGTTAAGCTTTAATTAAAACACTTGAAACATATTTGTTAAATACGCATTTATAAAAATACATTCGCATTATATCGAACGAGTTCAGAAGTTTCAACAAAAAATTCAATAGATGGCGCTGATGTACTCCATTCATCAGTACTTTACGATATACAGATTTTATCAATTTAAAACCTTTTATAATTTAATTGTTTTTAAAAATACAATAACTTGTTGCTGTTTTATTGTTTTAGAATTCTTAATAAAATACGATCGTTTTCCAAGTGATGAACGAACGGTCCTCTAATTTTTTAGTTGCAAACATTTTGTCAATCAACAGGAATCGTGTAATATAATTATGAATGGTTATTCTGTACCGTGACTATGGTCGTGAACTTCACGCATGCGCGGTGCATACTTTTGGTACATTTCTTTTGTGACGTCAGTACTACCAACCAAGATTTAAGGAATAGTGGCGCATGCGTGGTGCGTGCGGGGCGCATTCATTACTTTACAAAGGCGCGTATTTATGTTAGCCGTTTTTTTACAAACTTTTATTATATTATTGAATTTTAATAAACGCGTTTGTACATTTTATGTATGTTATATATTCACGATATTTATAGTTAGGCAAAGCCTTTTCGCCTATATGGACTGCACGCCACTGAACACAGGCACATCTTGCTTAAAAGGAGTCCCCAAGTAAGATCACCTAATGTAATCACAAATAACAATAATAAAAGGATTTTTTCATTTTTCATTTATAAGTAATTGCTATTGTTTTTATTTGACAGGTCAACGTTTACGTAAGCGATAATCATGTTCGTTCGACCAATTTTATTGTAAAAATATTATTATGCTACCAGTCTAGAAATGAAAGGCATAATAGGCTTAAATAACATCCAGACTATACTAGGTATGAAAAACAATAATTCGACTTCTTATTGCAATGTTGCAATTGTTTTCAAAACAGGTTTTCTCTTTTACAGAGGTTACACCTAGTCCAAATTATACGAATCTGATACTAGCATTCCTATGCTAGTATCAGATTCGTATAATTTATTTTTAATTTATTCCAAGGTTCCTACCTTGGAATAATGAAATAAACATTTCAAATAAAATTGTTAATGTTCTTACCATATTTGGAACACTGGCTAATGTTAAAGCCACATAGTATGCTTTGAGACTGTACCAGCGATTAAAATATTCTCGTCGAAGTAAACGTACATGGAATGGGACTGTGAAAGAAAAAACAATATTAATATTTAGAAATATTAAAATTTTAAATTAAGAAAGTAACACTTTACTCAACATCTTATTTGAAGACAGAAAATTTTGGAGACAGAATTATATTAACGTAGAATGAAATGAAAAACGACTTCCTTTAAATAAAATGCTACTTTTTTTTTCCTATTTGCCAATTTTGAACACTAAGCCATGCGTTAGAGGACTGTATTAAAATCAGTAGCAAAAAGTATTAGGTCTTTTTAACCTCTATGTAATATTGTACGTTTCCCACACACAATTTATTTGCATGGCTGTCATTGACTGCCTCATTGACAAGTGCAAGTGCCGGGCAAGGGGTCTCGGGTTCGATTCCCGCGTCGGGCAAAGTATTACTGTGTTTGTAAAAACCTCAGTAGTAACACGGAGTCTGGAAATGTGCCCGGTATATGGCAATAGGCTCACCTCGTATTACATGGGACTCATAACATAAATAGTGAAAAGTGGGTGTTACATTGTACAGTGGCATAATGTGCACCTCTGCCTACCCCTTCGGGGATAAAAGGCGTGATGTTATGATGTTATATAATTTATTGTGGTAAATTCTGAGTTGCGAATTGGTTTGTAACGTTTCCTTTTAAAAGAAAAAAAAAGTGTGCACCGCTGCCTACCCCTTCGGGGATAAAAGACGTGATGTTTTATAAAAAAAAATATATATGCATAACGTGGTATTTATTGCAGTTAAAAAATATTGCATGATATACTTCAAATATCATAATGGGTATTACAAATCCCTTATAGAATTTTGATAAATAAATAAACCTTCACTTACATATGAGAACAGGAATCATAGTATGCGTGTACATGAAGAAGACCAGGCAACTCAAACAAAATTTAAAGTTGACTACAGGATTCGCTGCGTTATTACCGACATTGAAGAATATACTGCCCAAAAGTGTAGCTGATAAAACATGATGGACCAATTGAATCCATATTGAAGTCTGAAATTAAAATTATGGTTATTATGGTTGACTGCCTCCTTGACTGGGGTCTCGGGTTCGATTCCCGGGCCAGATAAAGCATTACTGCGCTTTTTTTAAAAAAATCTCAGTAGTAACACGGAGTCTGGAATTGTGCCCGGTATATGGCAATAGGCTCAACCCCTATTATACGGGACTCATAACATAGATAGTGAAAAATGAGTATTATATTGTAAAGTGACATTAAGTGCCGTAATGTGCACCTCTGCCTACCCCTTCGCGGAAAAATACGCGATGTTCTATGTATGTGTAATTATCTCTAGTCGTAGAAGCAGACAGTATTGAAATGGAAAAGTTAAATGAATCTTTTTCAAAGTTCATGGGTAGCAATTAACACAGTCTATAGTTACATCTGTGTCTGGAACCTTAGCAATTTTACATATTCAATGTTTCCTGTTACATTTTAGGGCTGTCAATATAATAATGAAGGATATAGTTTTTATAACAAAATAATCTTCCTTACTGAATTTCTTCTGTTCTGCGTAAACATTCGTTTGCTCAATATAAGAAATTGTGCCCAGAAAGACGTTGGAAATTCAACTTTAGAAAGCTGTTCTTTAGCCACATGCTCCGTGAATATTCTCTGTATAGAGTCTTCCGAATGCAGTACGGGTTTTCTGAAAAAAATATGGCGATATTAATTGTATTGTACAAAACAGGTCTATGTATAGTTCATGCTTTATTGGGCATCCAGGTACCGCAGTCATACGGCAAAACGCGTCAGTTTTCTCTAAGATCGAGGTGTTACTTGATACTTCGATCGAAATATCCCATTCGGGTCAAAGTATAACACTATCACGTAAAGCGTTATTATTATGTTTAATCCATCATAATCCTACTATCCTGCTTAACTCGTCGAGTACCGGTTTTGTAGACACAATTATAGAACAATAGGTTGCGGTCACCGGTGACCGCTTGGTGTTTGACAGTTTAATATCTTATTTAATATCCTACTTTATTATGAATACTGCCTCATTGGCTGAGTGGTCGCAAGTGCGATTGCCGGGCAAGGGGTCTCGGGTCGGGCAAAGTATTACTGGGTTTGTAAAAACCTCATTAGTAGCACGGAGCTTGGATTTCCATGCTCCAAGCACAGAGCTTGGAAATGTGCCCGGTATATGGCAATAGGCTCACCCCTTATTACATGGGACTCATAACATAAATAGTGAAAAGTGGGTGTCACATTGTACAGTGACATTAAGTGCCGTAATGTGCATGTCTGCCTACCCCTTCGGGTATAAAAGGCGTAATGGTGTGTTATGTTGTGAGGATGTATGTATGAGTGTGTGCCTTTGTGTTTGTTGCTCTTTCACATCAAAACGGCTGAAGGGATTGAGATGTGGAACCGAGGTAGGTTGCGGTCTAAAATATTAAATAGGCCACATTTTATCCCACACGAACGCAGGCGAAGCCGCTGGTAAAAGCTAGTATACTATAAGGAACATTTTTTTTGGACATGTATAGACGTTTGGCCACTATCCCGCCTGATGGTAAGCAATACAGGTATTTTTTAAGGGGGGAAAATCATCGAATGACTGCTCCCGCCTGGGTGAGGGTGGGGGGAGTGTCAGACTCTTACTGACTAAAAACCACCCCGTTCCTTCTCCTGCACGTCGAGCCGGAGCCTCGGTTACCCGTTAGGTTCTCGGCGACAAGCAATACAAGTATAAGTATCTTTCATCTATCTATGGTGATTATTTTATAAGCCTTATTTAAAAGTACATCTAGGTACTTACCGGCCTCTGGGTATCATTCTATCCAATCTTCTGGAAAGTTTTCCATTCTGGCACAGCTCTGATAATGGAGCAGTTGTTTCAATGTCAGTGGCTAGAGTTTCCAGTACGAAGTCTGCTGGGTTATGCGTCTTGGGGCATACGTGGCCAGCTTCAGCTAAGAACGGTACTATGAGCTGAGGGGCACCCTGGAAATAGAAAAATCATTGTTAAGATATAAAAGTTAAATAAAAAATCTTGTTACTATTTTTCCACTAAATTCGTTTTATTTTATACTAGCGACCCGCCCCGGCTTCGCACGGGTGCAATATGCATGTCGTATTATACATTATAAACCTTTCTTAAGAATCACTCTATCTACCTCTATTTAAAAGAAACGCATCAAAATCCATAGTGTAGTTTTAACGATCTAAGCATACATAGGGACAGACAGACGGCGGATAGCGACTTTGTTTTATACTATGTAGTGAAGTATTGAATCTAAATATAGCCAAATAAGATATAAAAAATGTTACTCTTTTTTCGCGACATGGATCTTCTTATAGATATTTTTTTGGCAAAGCAACATAATATTATACGTTTTGGCTACATTATAATAATGAGATCAGCCTTATAATTATTACGTCTATTTTTATTTCTACGAAAATATACCTCTAATATTTTTAGTCGTCATAATATTATTAGGAATCTGTTTATTTTTCCAACACTTGACTGTACGGTTGGTGCGGTGTCTGAGCAACCAGCTGCCGCGCAACGTGTCGCGGGTTCGATTCCCGCACGGAGCAACTCTTTGTGTGATCCACAAATTGTTGTTTCGGGTCTGAGTGTGATGTGTGTACATGTATTTTCGTGTAAACTTGTATGTTTGTAAACGCACCCACGACACATGGGAAAATCCTAGTGTGTGGCAAAGTTCTTTTTTTTATGATTGGAACTTTGCACCTATGTAGATTATAAGTGGCAAAACGGATCTATGTAGCTTTACACTCAAAATGATAAAATAATAAAATGAAAACTGTCTTTAAAAAACCGACTTCAAAAAACCAAAAACTAAAAAATTAAACTAGCAAGCAAAAAATAACTATTATTAGTACTGATAGGTTACCCACCCACTGATAGGTTAGAAGTCGGTGCCATACAAAAAAAATATTAAACAATCAGCCGAACATAGTACCTCCTCCTGATTAAAAGAAGCTTTTGCCAGTTTGTAAAGCCTATTCTCATGTTCACTAATACCTTATGGATTCCTTGAATAAACGTTCATAATCTCCCACCTGCCTGGACCTACTTCATATCACAGTAAAATGTAATATGTTTATTTTATAGTTCAAGTTTTTATGACTCAAGCAAAGTTAAGTCATGAATAACTTAGTATGATCTTAATTCTCGTTTAAGTACTAAATACTAAACTTGTTTAACATTTAAACCTCCTTAATGCTTGTGTTAAATTTGTGGAGTAAATCTTATAACATTGTCACTTTAATTAACAGATTTGCTGGTGATTCGGTTTCTACGTAATGTTGAATGCTCCAATCATTCTGTAGTTGAATTGAATAAATGATTTGCATATAAAGTTTTGTTATGGTAAAGGTAGTGAGATGGTAGCTGACATTTTGACAAAAGGGATAACTGTTGATATAAAATTGTATTGTGTTCATTAGTTTACAAATAAGTTTATTTCTGAGATCAGTTCCAATCAAACAGTATTATTCAAAGACGTACAGTACACTACCATAGATTTAAAAATACATAGCTCGATACCTACAAATAAAGACAGCGCCACTAGAGGCAAAAATATAAACTAGTTTGTGTTCTACTTTCATTGCAATATTCTAACATCAACCCTTCAACACAAATTAAACATTTTTTTTTAATGTTTAATTTGTGTTTAAGGAACTTTGAACTGATCTCAGAAATAAACTTATTTGTAAACTATTACACAGTTTTACTCTAGAACCACATTTTCCTTCAGTTATACAGCATTTTTCTGTTAAATCTTTCATATATTAACACAACAAAACATCAAGCCTTTTATGCCCGAAGGAGTAGGCATAGGTGCACATTACGGCACTTAATGCCACTGTACATTGTAATACACACTTTTCACTATTTAAGTTACAAGTCCCGTGTAATAGGGGTGAGCTTATTGCCGTACACCGGGCATAAGACACTATGCTACTATAGAGTTTATTTTTAATAAAACCTAGTAATACTTTGCCCGACCCTGGGAATTGAACCCTCCCCTTGTCCGGCAGTCGCACTTGCGACCACTCGGCCAACGAGGCAGTTGCAGGCAGTGTAACATATTAAAAATTAGTAGGTATATTAGCTACCTTGTACGAAAATCTTGTAATACGAACATTTTTGGTCACTTAACTAGTTTCGCAACAGGTGGTAGATGTTCAAAAGAAGCTATTATGAAATTTTCCTTGGTCTATTAGACTGCAAGTCATTTGGTAGATAATTAAATTTACGAATTACGTTCAGACCAACCTGACTGGAATTGTGATTGCATAATAAGCTCAAAAATGACGCTCAAACTTCAAACCTGGTTTGCAAAATTGTATGCAAAATTCATAAATCACACAAAAATATAAAAGAAACATCTCGAATGGGGCGACAAACTCGAAAATCGAATACATTTTAAAATAATCGTCATAAAAGTGTTTTATATCTGAACCATTACTCACGCGAGGGTTAAGTGAAACACTCTGAAGTTATGACAGGACTATTATCGAGACATCATTTTGGGGTTAAACACGTATCGCAGCTATAAAGTTTATGTAGTCACCGCCCTTGTATTAAAACGCGTGAAGTAAGAGCTAAGTAAACGTTTGTACGATTTGTTGACTTTAGGTTACTTAGAAATAACTCGAGGTGTAAAGTACATGAATAGATGTTTATAATAAGTATCGTGAGTTATCAGTATGTCGCAATTTTAGTTACTAATTACTGAATTACTTTTGAAACGAATGACTCATGAAAATATACTACGAATAATAGATATGCTAGTTTCGAGTCACATCTCTTCCTCATAGGTGAATAAATGTATGTATTTATATTTTTTTGGTATCATTTTTATAATTATTATTATGTAGGTACCTATGTCTTTACCATTCACGGGACCACAGGGTCCCGGTCGACGTACGAGGAGCCGAAGCCAACTGCGCAGAGGCCCTTTAGACAACTTTAATCTAAATGTAATGGACACACAATGTAATGTAATGTAATTATTATTATTATTATTAAAAAGTACACTGTTGACTCTAGATTGTCTAGTGTTAATAAAATAATACTGCATATATCCATATTAGATTAATATATAATTTACGGTATAAGACTGTCGAAATTTCTTAAATCTTTGACTATACTTAGAATAGTAATTCTATTTAAAATTTATTATAGTTTTAAATTAATGTGATGTTAGTTAACATTAAACGAGCCATATCTAAAAATTAACACCTGTCTATACAAACCAATTCGCAACTCAGATTTAGCCACAAAAAACTTCGTGATCTATTTAATGTCAATTACAGAATTTGCATTTATTGTCCAAGTTAATAGACAATCATTTGGATTATTCGTGATTGCTATTGTTTCATCTAAAAAGATCGAAATAGTATAATCAAATATCAATTGGTCAATAATATGGCAATGACATAGATATTTTAAGTCTCAATGTAACGAATTACGATGTTTATATACGTAATGACTTTCGTGAGACATACTTTTTTTAGTCTTTATTATCTTAAGAATTACAATATCTGTCTAACATTGAGTCAGTCCCAGTAAGTTATTATACAATACTCGTGTTGGGACTGACTCGATCCTATCTTTATTTATTTAACACTCTTAAGAATAATAGCTTCCAGATCTGTAAATAACCCAATTAAAGGAAAACAACAAAAATTAAAGTAGATATAGAAAAAATAAAATTATAAATATAAAATACTATGGTAGAACGAAAAGTAATTGAATTTGTATTTTTTTTGTGTGAGTGGATGAATGAATAGATGTGTGTGTGTGTGTCTGTGTGTGTGTGTGTGTGTGTGAGTGAGTGAGTGAATGAGTGAGTGAGTGAGTGAGTGAGTGAGTGAGTGAGAGAGTGAGAGAGTGAGTGAGTGAGTGAGTCAGTGAGCGAGTGAGGGAGTACTCACTCATATATCACTCACATAGTATCACTCGATACTAGTGATACTAAATTAATTATTTTGTTTTCGGCTTACTCACGTAACCGTTTGGTGAGAAGTTCGACCAGTTCCAAGTCATGATAGAGGCTCATATGCATGAACCATCCGCGATACGTGACGTTTTCTCTGCTACTGGCTATTCAAGCCTGCGGTGCGCAGTCGCGGTATCGAAATGCTGCTCATGGATATGAGCCTCTAGTGTGGCTTGAAACTAGTCGAGTTCCTCGTCACACAGTAACGTGAGTAAGCCAAAAACAATTATTTAAAAAGGATGTTATAATTTTATTACATCCTTTTTTATTACATAACATAACATCACGCCTTTTATCCCCGAAAGGATAGGCAGAGGTGCAAATTACGGCACTTAATTCCACTGTACAATGTAACACCCACTTTTTACTATTTATGTTACGAGTCCCACGTAATAGGGGATGAGCCTATTGCCATATACAGGGCACAGTTCCAGACTCCGTGCTACCACTGAGACTTTTTTTAAAACCCGGTAGTACTTTACCCGACCCGGGAATTGAACCCGAGACCCCTTGCCCAGCAGTCGCACTTTCAACCACTCGGCCAACGAGGCAGTCATTTTTATTATTATGATATTATTATGTCACAGTATTCAAGAGACCAGTCTGTCTGTCTATTTTAGGCACTGTAACTACCATGTGAATGAATCAATTTAAGTACAGGTTTTTTTTTATAAATAACTATTGCGATACATGAACCAATTTTAGTGCAGTTTTCTTTAAATAATTATCCTCAGACATTAGGAATGTTAATTAGATAATTCAGTACAGTCAACAGCAGTTAATATCTTATAACACGAGAATCCTAATAAAATACAAGAAATAACAACGCTATTTTTAAAAAACTTGTGATATCATATTACGCTATATCAGAATAACTTTGAAAAGGAAATTGATACCAAATCAATACCTCGTAAACAGCTTATAAACTTGAGAAGAGGAATAAAACAAATGTTTACAAAAGTTTCGCCGCTTCAGTATTAGTTGGGAATAAATCAAACGCTCAGAGTATGTGGGAGTTAGACGGTTGAAACTTTTATATCGCAGTTATTCATAATTGTTTATCTTTAAAACATATACATATTGATTCTTAGTGTTTATTTTTTGATTTTGTTAGATTTTGTGTTAAGAGTGTCTAGTCTAAACCTGAATAATTTTTTACAATACGAACAAAAATTAAAATACCTAATAAGTAGGTATTAGGTATTCGTCTCCATTTGGAAATCTATCCCCTTCATAATCGGAGTCGCGGAGAACCTAACGGGTTACCGGGGCTCCGGCTCGACGTGCAGGAGAAGGAACGGGGTGGTTTTTAATCAGTAAAAGTCTGTCACTCCCTCCCGCCTCACCCAGGCGGGAGCAGTCATTCCATGATTTACCCCCAAAAAAACCCCCTTCATAAATGAAATCAAATTGTTTGTTTTTACGTGTATATACTTTTTCGGAATAAAAGTAACCAGTGTTTTTTCCAGGATATTAAAGCATAATTATACCAAGTTTCATTGTTAACTAAAATCGCGGGTTACTTACGTGAATATACTGAGAAAAACTCTACTAGTTTCGAACCACAAAGGGGTTCCTCCTCATGAGCAGCGTGCGCGGTCGCGGCGACGCCGCCGCGTATATTCACGTGAGTAACCCGCGATTTTAATTAATCTAGTATGTCTCACGATAGTTATTATAAAAACAAGTTTCATTGTAATCGGACTGGTAGTTTTTGCGTGATGCGTGAATGATATTTTTACATTTATAGAATTATCACTTCTACAGTCTTATTATATGTATATATATGTCTACATATGTAAATTAGAAATACCTGCTTCACTTCTAAAATATCACTTAACTAAAAGTACCTAAGTACTAAAATAATTTCTATGAAAACTATTTGTAGTAATCACTGGCGTCAGGTGTGCGGCGTCCTTTTCTGAATACTAATGATGATCATTTAAATTAATTAAAAACTTTTATACTAAAAATACTTCATATAACTTATCAAGGTTTAAAATTTAAAAAAATGTTGGAGGTCGATTAATCTTAGTCTTTAGTCAGATTAATAGCATTGAAAAAAATGTTGAAAATATTTTTAAACAAACAAACCTAACATGAGAATTAAAATATTTAAATAAAATGAGATAGTAAATATCGTGAGACATACTAAATTAACCGAAAATCGCGGCGATGTCGAAGACCGCGCAAGCTGCTCATGTGGAAGAGCCCCCTCTGTGGCTCGAAACTACTAGTTTTTGAAATAATAAAATGTTTACTTTATTATTATTCATAACGCCAAAAATATTTAAATAAAAAAAATATAGGTACATCAAACCATTTAAAATGAAAAACAGGAATTTGGTCAGCAATGGCCACGTATAGTCTGTTGATGTTTTTAGGTCATATTGGACTCGTAATAGTACCATTTGTGACATTAAAATTAAAACTCAATGACATTAGGTATTTCTAGATTCTATAGAATGAAACAGTGTTTATAAAGTCAGCATCAACCGTAACAATCGCAATGGCGGTGCTACTAATTTGACGACTTTTGGTCAAGAGTGGCCATTTATGGGCTGTTTATGTTGTATATTTTTTATGACATAATCCGGTAAACGAGCAGACAGTTCACCTGATGGTAAGCAATCGGCGTCACTCATGGACACCTGGAACACCAGAGGCGTTACAAGTGCGTTACCGGCCTTTTGGGGATTAGAGGTTTAAGCATCGTTGGGAATTCAGAGATTGGGGAAGGGAGGGTAATTGGGCCTCCGTAACCTCACTCACACGACGAAACACAACGCAAGCGTTGCTTCACGTCGGTTTTCTGTGAGACCGTGGTATCACTCAAATTCGTGGTATAATCAATACAATAACATAACATTAGTCAGTACTGCATACACCACAACATTACCCACATTGACTTGTCGGAAATCCCAACACGTCCACATCACAATCGTTCTACAAACAGAAGCCCTTTTGAAAGTAAGGCAAAACCAATTAAATTGGTGACGTAAGTAAATCAAAACGTGACGATTTTAATGAATAAACCATTTGATTTGGGTAAAAAGGAACGTTCACTTGATTGACACCTTTCGTGATAGGAAGTTGGATAATTAGTTTGTAAGACAATCTAAGTTTCGTAGTGTCTTGACTATTTCTAAGGTATTGTGTGCGTGATGTAAATACCTTATTAATGGACCTTTGATTTCTGCTCCAGTTCCCAACATCAAGCTAATATTTTGACGGTTAGTGTGGCTTAGATAGAAGCCGATTGTCGAACGATGCGATACTTTGTCTATAACTCTTTGATGTATTTTTCCTATAGGTGCGCTCGTGTGAGTGATGATTAAAATAAATTATGATTTTTAACCGACTTCAAAAATAAAAAAGTATGTTCTCAGTTTGTAACAGATAACGGCTGGGCGTTTCCAAAACGAATGCAAAATTTCAAAAACAGAGTAAATTGGCGGGAAAGTGGAGCGTCTTCGAACACACTCACCCACTAAACGTTTCGAGTCGACGGCGACTGTTGGCGCGAGCGCGGGGCCCGCGCGAGCGAAGCGTGGGCGGGGCTTCCAATTTTGAATTTTAGCGCGAATGCGAATCTCGGATGCGAATTCATTACGTTACCATCATTTTTCAAATCGCACTACAAAGGAGGTTGTTAACATAAGAGTTGCTAACACAGTTTACCCTGTATGTATGTACGTTTGTGTGCGATTATCTCGAACTGAACAGGAGCTTTAGTATGAGTTTGTTTTACGTTTAAAGTAATGTAACGAGTACGCATTCGGAGCTCTGATTGGTTGCTTCATTGGCGCGGGCCAATCAGAGTGCCGAACGCGTACTCGTTTCGAATACATTAAACGTAAAACAAACTCGTACTAAGGCTTCTGAACCGATTTTGATGCAGTAGTCAGAAAAGTGTTTGTTACGCTTAGGAGAAGGTTTTAGTATAATATACTTACTTAGGTACTTATATACTTACTAGACTTAAAAAAGGGGGGTTATAGTCAGTTTTTTATGCGTAGTTTAGAAAAGGGTTATTGAAAACTAATTATAATTCGTTTGGCGCTGAAAACTGTCTCTAACATAAGTACTTATATAAACAGAAGTTCAGTATATCCTACGTTTCAAAGTCTTATGGTTGTTGCGAAGTTGGCGTAAAATGAGAATTACATTCTTAACTGCCAGGTTCTTTATGCAAAATGTGGACAATATGTTTATTAAATAACATAACATCACGCCTTTTATCGCCGAAGGGATAGGCAGAGGTGCACATTACGGCATTCTATGTCATTATACAATGTAACACCCACTTTTCACTATTAATGTTAGTCCCATACGTAATAGGGAGTGAGCCTGTTGCCATATACTGGGCACATTATCTTATCAGACTCAGTGCTAGTACTGAGATTTCAAATTTTGCGCGACCCGGGATTCAAACCCGAGACTCGTTGCCCGGCAGTCTCACTTACGACCACTCGAACAATGAGGCTTTAAATCTAAATCTATAAATAACTGATTACCTGATAACAGCACATTCCTCGTGCCAACACGTAGATTCTGTCGAAGAGAGCGAACAACGAGGCAGATGGCTGATGAACTGTGCACACGATCGTTCTGCCTTGACGAGACAGGAGACGGAGGAGTACCACCAACTGACGGATGGAGACGATGTCCAGGCCACTGTAATAAAAAGAAACTTATTATATCAATTTAGGTTAATTTAACCCCTTTTTGAGGGGAGAATCATCCAATGACTACTCCTGCCTTGGGTTAGGCGGGAGGGACTGACAGACTCTTACTGACTAAAAACCACCCCGCTTCTACTCTTGCTCTTCGAGCCCGGCAACCCGTTAGGCCTTCTGCGACTTAATTTAATCCCTTGGTTTAGTTATCAAGAAATTTAAAAGATGATAAAAGGTTTTTTCCTATTCGGTCTTATGATCGTTACATAATACAGATAGTTATGTAGACTAATGCAGATGTACATAATTTTATCTGGTTGGGACGTACAAATTTGAAATGCATATACTACTATAACAAAAGGTTTATTTTCTGAAATGTCCTGGAGACTATCCAATCAAGGGAAGAAAGAAAGAAAGAAAGAAAAAAACATTTATTTAACACCAGGCACGATGCAGCATAAATAAAAAAAAAGACAATCAAGGTGTGACAGTGGAAGTAATAAAAATATAAGAGTTGAAAAATTGAAACAGAAGAATTAGAGGTAGAAAAGAGACGCTGACAACATGCCTATGCTAAAAGGGTCACCCACTCAGTGTAAGCCAGGCATACAGGTCCAGCACCCACCCAGCACTGATTTTCAGTGAGCACCCATGCAGTGACGCGTGATCAAAATGAATGAGTTTCTTTCAAATGTGTTTTAATCGGTATTTAAGTACAATATAATTGAAAATCATAATCATTTTCCTACAAATTTCATAGTAAACACGGTATTTTACATTTTGCAATGAGCATTGTTGTATTATCCTTAAATTTTACGCTTTGTTGACACGCCTAAGCAAATGAAATTGAGTTATGACTCCATGAAGTTAAATACGGTTAAAATTAAAGCCTGTTACAAAATTTTACTGGCACGAACTTGTGAAGTAGGCAACTTTTATGTTTTGTGTGTAAAAATGTGATGACGACTCAAAATATGAGTAATTTAATATATTTATGTTGTGTTTTATGTGTTTTAAAATACTTCTCATCTCATCAACAGCCTATAAATGCTCACTGCTGAGCAAAGCCTCTTCTCACACGGAGAAGGTTTGAGCATTAATCACCACGCTTACTCAATGCGGGTTGGTGATTACAAACTTATAATTAGAAATTATAAGCCCAGGTTTCCTCACGATGTTTTCCTTCACCGTTTGTCAGTGGTGTCTAAATAACCTTAGGAAGTATACATATATCTCGGAAAAAGTCACGTAAGAATTAATCATTAAATACCGATAGCTCAGTGATCCAATGTGGATCTTGGCCGACAGAAGATACGAGACTTCTCAATTTCTCATCAGGAACTAATTAAAATAAATATTGTATTTTTTTTTTATAATAAACAATCCCAACAAATAAATTACTTTGTAACTTCAATGACACAATCCACAAACGATTTAATTTAAAATAATTGCTTTTTGCGGTAAAAACTCTAAGATGCAGATGGCCAAGTATATCCCACAAAGGACCATTAGCGGTTCGCACGCAAGAAATATATTAAGTTGCAAGGCCATTATAGATAAATACTTGTTAGATTTATTATATATCTCGGCCACATAAATATAATAACACATTTAACCATGAACTACAAAAGGTTTGATAAGATTGTGATTATATTCTCATACTTACCGAAGTATAAAACTAAACGTTTATTCTTTTTTTTTATGTAACTAGCCGGTTAACGAGCAGACTGATCACCTGATAGTAAGCATTCCATTTTATTTAATTTATCCATTTATTTTATCCATTTATTATATATAGATTTTTGGCAGTAATCGTAGCTGTTGATTTTGTTTTCACTTTTATATTAATTTACTATATTATACCTCTACATCATGCTGTACTCCGAGCAGCGTTAATGTAGATGTTTAGCTAGTACGTATTATAACGGGCTGGTGCTGAAAATCAGCGCCGTGGGCTCGAGCCTCTGTGCCCGGTCCACGGTATTAAGCTGAGCTCCAGCATTTTGCGCTGCGACGCACCATGGGCTTTTTTTCGGTGTTTCTAAATTCTTGTTGTGTGTCGCAGCAAAATAAATGGTTTTTCTTTCTTTCATTCGGCGTCGGCGGCGTCGCCCATAAATACCCGAAACATCAGACGCGTTGCAAGTGCGTAACCGGCCTTTTCGACGTTAGGAATTTGAGGGTTGTTGGGGATTCGGGAATTGGGGAGATTGGGAGATTGGGAGATTGGGAGATTGGGGAGGAAGGTATTTGGGTATTCTATAACCTTACTCGCACGACGAAACATAAGACTTTGGTTGTTTCGTTCTTTTAACTGTATGGTCAGGCAAAACAAAACTGTATTTTTAAAAAATGGATTTGGATTAATGCCACAACTTAAAATAAACAAAAAGTAAAAACTTGAAAATCACTACTATTACTACTGATAGGTTAGAAGTCGGTGCCAATGATAGGTATCTATAATAGTAAAAATATGGTAAGTTGATTTAACAATTGAAGGCTTGGGTTAGCTGAGAAAATAGTTAAATCCTTGTAGGGTTTAAATATATTCCTGTAAGGCAGTAACTATAAATAACTCTTTTTGTTATATATAACATAACATAACATCATGCCTTTTATCCCCGAAGGGGTAGGCAGAGGTGTACATTATACCACTGTATAATGTAACACCCACTTTTCACTGTTTATGTAATGAGTCCCATGTAATAGGGAGTGAGCCCATTTGCCATATACCGGCCACAATTCCAGACTCCGTGCTACTACTGATTTTTTTGTAATACTTTGCCCGACCCGGCAACCGAACCCGAGACCCCTTGCCCGGCAGTCGCACTTGGGGCCACTCGGCCAACGAGGCAGTTTCTCCTAATTGTGTCCTTTACAGTTCATTACACAATAAGCAGCATGTCACTAAGATTTCAAATATTTTTAATTAAAAGTCCCTGAACAAAGAAAATTAATGAATAGAAATTATTCTAATTACAATTTATGTTTGAGACCTTCCATTTTGTTTTATTACGGAGAATAAAATTGGGCATGTATCCTAAATCAAACCGGAACAGAGATCCGACGCGTAAATCCCATATGGTACAAAGATAATGAATAAATTAGTGCATTCTGAATAAAAATGCTCGAGTATGAATAAAGTTGTGGAACGCTACTCTTCTTTGTTTGAATCTCTAAAACCTTGTACAGAATTTTTACTAACGATGTGGCTTAGCCATCGTCTGTTATTAGATACTTAATGTATCATGAAGTAATTTATTTTGATTGATTATATTAATACCCACACGTATTTGGATAAATAAGACTAGTGATAATAGATGAATTAGTTCAAATAATAAAAAACGTAAGTACAAAAAGTTACGACTAGACTAACTCGACTAGTTTCAAGCCATGCTGAATATGAGTCTTTTTTTTTTTAAGGGGGAAAATCATCGAATGACTTATCCCGCCAGGGTGAGGCGGGATATGAGCCTCTAAGATGTCTCGAAACTAGTCAATTACCTCGTCAAATAATGGCGTGAGTAAGCCGAAAAACATAAAGATACGTTATAACATAAAGATACGAAACCTTTAGAAAACTTTTGTCATAAGACAATTTTTATTTAAGTGATTCACTTAAAAATAGTGTCTACTAATGAAAATTAATTATCACAGTCAGCGTACATTGTCTCATCAATACCGTACAATGAGGCCCGAAGGACCAGGATCAAATTAATGCAACACAAAACCGATCTCTTCAGAAAGGTCCCATAAATCAGTTTCAAGGGTTCTACTAACAATTTTTGTCAAAATGGCCGCTCTCGATGGATTGAGTACATGGCCGTGATTCCGTAAACACGTTTCAGGTTAAACGTCCTATAAAAGGTTATGGGGGAACCTAGTGATTAAGCCAATTACCTCCCATTGTGCTTATATAATTTTGTTTAGCTTTCCGATTGGGTCGGACCTTTTGGGCAATAGATATTAATGAATTGCCTCAAAGATATCGAGCTTTCAAAAGATTGCTGTTTAGCTCGGATTCAGGATGAATACAGATTACAGTCTATTTCGTTAGGGAATATTCTCTTTCAATCGCTTTAGTTACATTCGAAGGGTAACGTATGTACGTATACCTAACGAGCAATTCGTAGGTAATAAATACTTATTGGAAGAATTTCATGAAGGTCAAGAGTTGTGTTAAAATTAAATGGACTATGTCCGTAATGAACAAACGTTCTGGACAGGAAATAACAAGGCTTACTTGATGTTTATTTGAAATAATCCAATTTTTTATATGCCTTTTCCCGGATGACGAAAAATAAAACACGTTTACCTCATTACGGGATAAGGGTTAAATTAAATAAGGGCATTTTCCTTGTCCATAAGAAGGTTGGTCCAGAAAAATTGCATTACTAACATATGAGAGGACAATAATGACTCCAATTACTCATGTCTAATCCGAGGATTATATTTTCCTCAAACGTACGCATTGTTCTCGTTATAGCTGTGTCTAATTGTTTTTTTTTAACTCGCCCCTTCTAACGAGAGTAACGTCATCGGGGTTGAAAAACATGGGATGTTTTCAGGTTATTTGTGGTCTTGGCACAGTTAATGAATTGTGGTGTTTTCTTCTCGGAAGGTAAGTGGATGTTTTTAATGTATCTGGTGAAGAGAAATTTGGGAATTATGCTAGTCTACTTGTAATTGGATCGATGAAGATGAAATTAGATATTAAATCGATGTGAACATTTTGTCTTGGGCAAAATATTTGCAAACTTCCTTGAACAATAAGTCTCAGGTAAGCTATCTCTATCATGCCACAGTTAAATTACATTATTTAACTGACCAACGCTACATAGCTATATAAATATTAATGCAGCAGTCAGTTATGTCAAAACACTACTATAACTTCGAATATATATAAGTATGAAAATAAAAAATATTGGAAATCTGTACTTACGTTGTAGGTTCATCCAAAAATATGATGGGTGGGTTATTGACCAGCTCCAAAGCAACAGACAGCCTCTTCATTTGACCACCTGACAGTTTTTCAGTCATTGTGTTCTTATGATTCCATAAACCAAGAGTTTGAAGAATTTCTTCTACCTAAAACAAAGTGTAGGAAGTTGAAAAGGCTGGTACAAAGTTCTGTTGAGTACATACGCACATAACTTCACGCCTGTCTCCCATGGGGGTAGGGAGAGACTATGGAACGCCAATTACTACGATTCCTACATACCTCTTTCGCTTCATGAACAGTCATCAATCTTTTCATGCATGCTCGTCGGTTAAGGGTACTTGGGTCTTTCTGGTGAGTAGTAACAAGAAATAGAAATGGCAACATTTATGACCATACCATTATTATACTAATTATGCTACCTAGTTTTATTATTTCATCGTTTATTTTATTAATGTGTACAGTTACTTTAATTGGTTTTTGTTTTCAACCGTTGTGACTGTAATAAATAAATAAATAAATATAGGTATTTAGTATAATTTTTATATATAACGAACTAAAAATAAAGTTCCATTTATATTAAAACAAATGAGAAACTCAAATAACATAAGAAAGAATAAATACTAATATTATGTCTACAACGTCAATACACGTCACAGCTCAAGTCCAAAATAAAATGGCGGGACGAATGATAAGAAAACTCGGCCTTCCTAACCCTAGGAAGGCCTTTGCCCTGCAGTGCACAACAATCATGGCTAAATTAATAATTGTTATAAAGTCTACTACTGGAGAGAACAATTTAATCATCTTACACACTATTTCTAGTCGCGGAAAACCTAACGGGTAACCGGGGCTCCGGCTCGACGTGCAGGAGAAGGAACATGGTTTTTAGTCAGTAAGAGTCTGACACTCCCTCCCACCTTACCCAGGCGGGACCAGTCATTCGATGATTTCCCCTCTTAAAAAAACACACTATTTCTAACCAGTAGAGTTCAATGACTGATCGCTTCAGTATCCAATCTAAGTTTTCATGGTCCAATATAAAGCAAACGTGACTCAATCTGATTTTAAAGACACTGCAAAGAAGACTTCATTAAAGTTAGATAGAGTTTAATTTCTAATTAAGTATAACTTCTATCTTTATATGTATATTTGTACAATTTATTTGCGTGTATTCGAAGAGACCTATTCGTATCGTTAAATCTAATCCACTCATTTGCTATGATTATATTGTTTTTGTTTTAACATTGGATCAAGATTTCTTAGAACCTAAAACCCAATCGTTATTATTTCCGAAAAGAAATAATAGTCATTAGACGTGGTCTATTGTGTATTTGATATTGTATATTTTGCGAGCAAAAAGAATCATATTTAACAATCTATTTGTGTCTGTTTTTTGATAAAAACTTTACACTATTGTTATCAATCTCGATGACACCTAACTATGTCACGGACACAGATTTATTTTATCCTCATCATCAGCCCAAAAGTGCCTTCTGTTGAGCAAAAGCCGCTTCTCACACAGCGCAGTATTTCCGATACTACGACATTTAGGTATATTTCACACAGGGAAAAATATTTTCATTTAAACTTTATTATAAGGCAGATAATTATGATTTCTCATAAACTCTTTCCTCCTTGCGCCTTTCTACTAAAAATAAATAAAAAAGTCAATAATAATTGCCTCAATTGCCAGCATGGATATATAAAAGTAAACGTCCCTGTAAAAGAATGCCTTTATGACGAGAATGCCTGATATTCCATTCTTCCTACAATTAATTTAACGTACTTAATCAATATTGGCATTTATTGTGACATTTAAAGTGCTTTTGACTATTTATATTTTATGCTAGCTGTTGCCGTTGTTGTTATATTTTTTACATTAAGTTTTTAATTACGTACTTCTGATAGAATAGAGACTTCCTATTTACGTAGAATTCCAGATTCGATGATAGTACAGAGGAATTCTTCAGGCTTGGTTTTTTTTTCACTTATTACTACATAGCTGGTTTTAAGATTTAAATTATTATAATTTCCATTTCGTCCTGGATCACGGTCACAGACAAAGGAAGAACACCGCTGCGGTTTTAGCCGGTAAGAATCCGGCACACCCCCCTTCGCCCCCACGACATGGGAAGTCCAAGAGGACGCCCATCGCGTCAAAAAAAAAAACTAAAAGAGTTTTAAAAAGCCGAAAAACTTAAACTTACTATTAATTCCTTCTCAGCTTTTCCCAACTCTTGCCCTAGTTTCAAGTTGGCTGCGACCACCATGGACTCCTGCACCGTCAACCTTGGTTGAAGCAGATCTTCCTGCATGATATATGTACTGAGTTTCTTGAACAGCTTCATTTCACGAGTGTGACCGTTCACTGTTATTCTGCCCTTCACTCCGTTTGAACTGAAAAAGAATAAATAGGTTATTTCGGTCTCCTAGAAGATTTTCTTTGACCCTTGTAGCAATAGCATCCATTTCATATCATTATTTTCTGTTAAATGTCACAAAGTATTGCTGGGTTTTAAAAAAAAAATTCTCAGTAGTAGCACGGAGTCTGGAAATGTGCCCGGTATATGGCAATAGGCTCACCCCCTATTACATGGGACTCATAACATAAATAGTGAAAAGTGGGTGTTACATCTGTGTGCACCTCTGCAAAAAATGTGAGCCGTATTGTTTTAGATTCTTATTTTCTTTTCTAAAACAAACAAAATATTTGAGACAAAACATTATCTTATCCTATCCTACTAATCCTACTTCCTACCAATGTTATAAAAGTTAAAGTTTGTGAGGATGTACATGAAAAAATTGTCAAAGTCTTCCATAAGTAGAAAAGCTTTGTCAAAGTTTAAATGGAGTTCGATGTATGTGTGTTTGTTACTCTTTCATGTCAAAACGGCTGAAAGGATCAAGATGAAAGCTGAAGGGATAACGAATTAACAGGTTAATTATGGTTGGGAATATCACATGGGCTACTTTTTAATCCACGAGAATGCGGGTGAAGCCGCTGGTAGGAGCTAGTAATAGTACTACATATCTGTATTTTATTTTAGATATAAGTTTATTTTATTTTAGGTATAAGACAATTCTGAACAATATTTCTCAAATTGCAGAAACAGATATTGCATCCTAATAATTTGCAGAAATATTTCCGCAGCTTTTGTTGCATCACCGATTTTCCCAGACGCATTCACGCAAAGCCATTCCAACGTATCCACCAAATATGTAGTTCATTCGCTGGAAACCCGCGTGATATATCATCTGAATGAACCATTCACATTCACTTCGAATGAGAATACAATGGTATAATGTAATGGTAAATACTATGGTATGTATGCACATAGATGCTAAATCTAATTCTTTTTTCCCAAAAAGTCAGAGTAAGGTCACTAGCATAGGTAATTTTTTTTTGGGTTTTTGCATGACATTCGTAGCGTGTAGCCCTCTGATTGGTTGGTGAATTTAAGCTGGCCAATCAAAGTTTAGAATGCCATAAACGTATCAATCGAGTTAAAGTTTAACAAACTAGCAGTAGGTATATAAGTTTCAGAATTCAATATCAAGGTCATGTAAAACTGATATAAAAATAAACCGCGATGTCAATAAAAATAACTTTGTTATTTTTGACGTCATACTGTTATGTAATCATAAGTTCGTTGATTAATTATGAATCTAACGAGATGGTCAATTAAACAGTAATTAAGGTAATTTTATATAAGATTGACGTATTGGGGTTACACGAGCTAAGGCGATTGGCTTAATGAATTTTAGTTTATTTCCAAGTTAAAACTAGATTAGAGGACAGAAGATGCTAGACTGGCTAATTGATTTAGTCTTTATCAATGACAATAAAGTTAAGTACCAATTAACTTAGTGTTTTATCCCGGGTCCGACAAAGGATTTTTGGGGATTAACATAACATCACGCCTTTTATTCCCGAAGGGGTAGGCAGAGGTGCACATAACAGCACTTAATGCCACTGTACAATGTAACACCCACTTTTCACTATTTATGTTATGAATCCCATGTAAAATGGGGTGAGCCTATTGCCATATACCGGGCACGATTCCAGACTCTGTTTTACTACTGAGATGGGAATGTCAGGCTCTAACTGACTAAAAAGAAAACCATCCTGTTTCTACACCTGGAATTTTGGTATTTAGGCATGTAACCGACAGACAAAAAGGTTAATAATGAACTGTCCTTATTTTACCGTACAATATTATGGACTAAGTAAGTACTAGTCAAGTTGACCTAGAAGTTAAAACTAGGCGCTATGTTCACACACCTTTACCTAGTTATCCTTTTAGAGCGTAACACATGTGACATAATGTTGAACATATAATTTAAAGGAAAGACATACAAGTAAATCAATCGCACGTAGTTATTACAGATGTTGAATATTTCGTATAAATATTTAAAACAGAGTGTTTTGCACATAGACCGACACAATTTTTTCAAATGTCACATAATATGATTTTTTATTGAAATGAAAAAATTCTATCAACTCAACTGAAAATAACATTCTTGTTTGTGGGCCTAGTAGCTCAAAATAATATTTATACACTTCAATGTCTATTAAATCGAATGATCTAAAGTAGCTAATGACCTTCCAAATCTTTGAAAAAATTGTATCGGTTCATGAGCCAAGCATCCTGTATAATGTCACCTTGTAAACATAGATATTGGAAGCAATTAATAAGAATTAGTAAGTTTACTGACACTCCCATAGTTTTATTATAATTAAATTTTATAGTAGCAAAGATTAAATTATATTATATCGTCGTTATATTATTATATAGGACCTATATAATAATATAACCAATATTATAGGTAATTATATTATGTGTCATGGTGGCTCGGAGGTTTAAGACTATCGCCGCCGAGGTTTTTTTTTTAAGGGCGGAAAATCATCGAATGATTGCTCCCGCTTGGGTGAGACGAGGGGTAGTATCAGACTCTTACTGACTAAAAACCACCCCGTTCCTACTCCTGCACGTCGAGTCGGAGCCCCGGTTACCCGTTAGGTTCTCCGCCGCCGTAAGAACCTACCAACAGCTAGTATCAATGTGACTTTTCCTAATTATATGAGTATACTTTCTAAAATTATTTAGACACTACTGACAAACGGTGAAGGAAAACATTGTAAGGTTACCTAACCTCATAAGTTTGAAATCGTCAATCCACAATGAGTAAACGTGGTGATTAACGCTCAAACCTTCTCCGTGCGAGAAGAGGCCTTTGCTCAGCAGTAGGCATTTATAGTCTGTTGATGATGATGACGCTGATGATAAATAAGTTTCCTGACAAATTCCATTCTTTTATTTAAATTCTATTTTATAGCTGAGATAGTATAAGTAGGTTAGTAGGATAATATGTTTTTGTATCTTTTGCATGATTTACTATCGGCATAGTTAATCGTCGTTTACCATTCTATTAGGTAATTACTAGGCCGTTATTTCTTCTTTATGAAGGTTGGTTAGATTGCCTTGTCAAGGTCGAATTGTTAGACTGCTAAGCGTAAGTTGTTTTTAAAATTATACACCATGTATGGGCAGAATATTTTCAGATTTTAACATGTTTGAATTGTACTTAATTATTCTATTGTTGCTCTGCTTATTCTATGTATAATACTACTAGCTTTTACCCGCAGCTTCGCTCGCGTCACAAAAGAATAAAAAGTAGCCTATGTGACATATAAGAATACACACAGCGCCATCTATACCAATTCTTTTGTTTTCGCTCGGGTATATCAAATTTTCCGGAATTATAAGTAGGTACCCTACTAGGTTATTTAATCCGAACTTCTAACTTTACGTCTGCAAAATTACAAAGCAATTGGTTTAGTAGTTACGGCGTGAAAGCAGAACAAACAAACAAACTCACTTTCCGATTTATGATATTAGTAAGGATAATAGATATTGCTTTTTTTTAACGTCACCCCACACTAGTTTTATCTCTTGTGTCATGGTTGCATTTATAAACAAACAAGTTCACATACACATGACACCCAGATCCGAAACAACAATTTGGATTACACAAAGAGTTGCTACGTGCGGGAATTGAACCCACTACAACTTGCGCGACAGCCGGTTACCCAGCCACCGCACTAACCGCGCCTTTGATGGCATATATAATCTTAATTCTAAATAAAGATTGTACACTCCAAGGGTATGTAATAGTGATCCTAATCTAAATGATAATTTTAAGAGCTAAACTTACACGTGTGGCAAATAATAAATGCATTTGAATTTGAATTTGAATGTTAATAGAACAAGGTCTAAAATTATAGACAACAATAATGATACGTATACTTTTTTATATTTGATTGGCCGTCGTTTGACCACTATCTCGCCTGGTGGTAAGCGATGATGCGGTCTACGATGGAGCACGTCGTCCCATAAGCAACCTAGTCACTCAGGCCTTGAAGACAATATGCTTTAGTTCTCTAAAACGTTGGCTTAACATATTGCAGTTTAAAGCCTAAACCCTCTATAAAGCATAAGATTTTATAACCGACTTAAAAAAAGAACTCAGTTTGACCTGTATGTATGTATGCGTGTTTGTGTATGCGCGATTGACTGAACCGATTCTGATACGGTTTTCAGTAATGTGTTTATTACACTTAGGAGAAGATTTGAGGAATGGGGGGATTGGGAGGATTAGGGATTCGGAATTTGAGCATTGTTGGGTATTCATGGATTAGGGAGATTGGGGAGGGGGGTAATTGGGCCCCCGGTAGCCTGACTCACATGACGAAACACAACGTCAGTATTGTTTCACGTCGGTTTTCTGTGAGGCCGTGGTATCACTCCGGTCGAACCGGCCCATTCGTGCCGAAGCATGGCTCTCCCACACTTATTATAACTTAAAAACACGGCCCTTCATACCTACAACTTAAATGTCAGATTCTGTAAACAACAATTTTTGTTATAATAAGATAATAAGACGTGCTTGACAAAAGTACTCGTACGTATTAATTTTAATTACACATACACATAAACGGTTATATCAATTTTAACTAAGTATGTATACCTACAACAATAATTTGTAACTTGATAGCAGTTATTTAATAACACCAATACTATAAAAAATAACAGTTATTTTTTGCCAGAAGCTAAAAAGTCCGTCGATACCTTCTGAGTTCCTTCTATGTTACCAAAAAACTTTAGTTCATTAAACCCAAAGACTACGTAATATAGAATTACAGTTATGAATTATTACAAGCAATCTGACCTGACTTCGCCTGACCTTTATGCTGTCAGACTATTTTACCATACCTTACTATCTTAATGATGGATAGAGATGAACTATAAAATTAATTCATTAATTGACAATAACATAAAATTGTATATAGCGGAAAAAATAGACGTCACTAATTAGCATAACCCAAATTTGAACCGAAAATCCACCAAACATTTAAGAAGTGTAATTTTTTTTAGTAATTTTAGGTATTTTTAGGCGTTCAGACAAACAGATAGACGTTGCAGATTTTGTGATATACAATGACTGGTGGAATCTGTTTTTGCTCAATGGTTGCAGCAAAAAGTCGCTATAATATTTACGGGTTTTCGATTAGGTGATTTATCTAGAACTGTATAGATAATTAACAAGTTATAATCTGTCAGAATTTAATTTTTTATCATAATTTGGTCTTTTGCAGCTTACAGTTATAGATATTTCAACGATATTGCTATATTAATAAATATAACGTATTACTATAGTATGCATATTTTTAAGGCAAGACAAATATTTCAAAACTTCATAAATTATCAATGTGACTTTTTCCGAGTTATAGGTATGTACTTTCTAAGATTATCTAGACACCACTGACAAACGGTGAAGGAAAACATTGTGAGAAAACCTGGGCTTATAATTTCTAATTATAAGTTTGTAATCGCCAACCCGCATTGAGCAAGCGTGGTGATTAATACTCAAACCTTCTCCGTGTGAGGAGAGGCTTTGCTCTACAATAGGCATTAATAGGCTGTTGATGATGATGATGATGAATTATAATCTTATAGAGTTCAAGTACTTACTTATAGCCTGCCAGTATGTTCAAGAGTGTAGATTTTCCTGCTCCAGATGGACCAAGAATGCAGGTGAGTTCCCCAGAACGGAATTCCCCGGAGACATTGTGAAGAATCCTGCGTTCTCCTGGAAAGAAGTAAAGTGATGTTATCAGACTTAATTATAACATTGTTAATCACAATGAACACTGGACGGTTAGGCGTCACTGGCAAAATAACTCATCATTTCTGACCTTTTTTATTTTACTGTTGTATTTTTTTTATAAGTATGTTTTTGTATGCTTTGTTGCTAACACTAGATTTTTAAGTTTATTTGTCTTGTAACATGGATTTCAAATAGTTCTAATATTTTTATATGCTGTTTTATCCATTACAACTGTTGGTTTAACTCGTCGAGTACCGGTTTTGTAGACACAATTATAGAACAATAGGTTGCGGTCACCGATGACCGCTTGGTGTTTGACAGTTTAAGGAAAATAGTAAATAAATAAAAATATTAATTATTCAAGTAATACAAATATTAATTAAACGAGATAACACTGACAACCTAACAATAAGAGAATCGCGTGCGCAAACCGAATTGTAGCAACTGCAGTACAATTAGTCGCAGCAAAAAGTCGCAGAAAATAATAATGGTAATCATATTTCATGCAAATGATGTCTTTTGCTCTGAATACTAATTAAATGTAACATAACATAACATCACGCCTTTTATCCCCGAAAGGGTAGGCAGAGGTGCACATTACGGCACTTAATGCTACTGTAATGTAACACCCACTTTTCACGATTTATGTTATGAGTCCCATGTAATAGGGGGTGAGCCTATTGCCATATACCGGGCACAGTTCCAGACTCCGTGCTACCACTGAGAAAAACCCAGTAATACTCTGCCCGACCCGGGAATCGAACCCGAGACCCCTTGCCCGGCAGTCGCACTTGCGACCACTCGGCCAATGAGGCAGTCAGTAATTAAATGTGTTATGGAAAATTATTCATTGAAACAATACAAATGTTTTCACCCAACTGACAAGTTAATTGTTTACGATTAATTGTAGGTATATTTATTATTGCAAACTCATTTAATCTTTGTACCCTTTTATTATATAAAAATACTTTTTAGAAATATTAAAATCAACTAGCGCGGTAGGCAGGCAGCGCTAGCTGCGCAAGTAGGAACACCGATGCGAGCACCAACTCTAGCCAATAGGCTGCGTGACATCGCTGCGACCGCGCACGCTGCTCATGAGGAAGAACCCCTCTGTGGTTCAAACTAGTACAGCTTTTCTCTCAGTATATTCACGTGAGTAACCCACGATTTTAGTTAATTTAGTGTGTCTCACGATTGTTATTATAAAAACAATATTATAATCTATAGACCACTGCTATATAGGTATAAACCGGGGAGGTGGATACGACTGCATGCAGTCAAGTAGACATTTCCAGGGTCGGTGAGTCTCACGCTTGTATAATAAATAAAGTTACTAACACTAGTTAATAAGTTCTGCACTGTAACTAACAAATATGAAATTTATTCTGAAATAAATGTTTATAATTGTATTAAGACTAAACCGCGGTGGTTTCAAACTGCGTAATTTTGTAAAAAGAAGAAAAGAAAGGTTTTATTACAAACAGTGGTACGTGAAAAATGTGTAGGTGTTTGTAGTTTATAAAGAACTTATTAACGAATTAAGGATGAAAATACAGCGGACGGTTTTGCGATTTAAAACCGTTGGACGTGCACCACACTCCCTTTCGCCTAAACAAAGACGGGAGAAGTCATAGAATGATTTTCCCTCCTCGATAAAAAAAAAGTACTGTGGATCTTGCTCGTTTTGCGGTTAGGGCGGTAAACAGGGGGCTGGAAGAACCCACGTGATTATAAAAAAAAATAGCACTCATGTTGAGATATACCTACTAAATTAACAAAAATCACGGGTTTCTCAAGTAAATATACTGAGAAAAGCTCTACTAGTTCCGAACAGAGGGGGTCCACAGAGGGGTTCCTCGTGAGCAGCGTGCGCGGTCGCGGCGATGTCGCGCAGCCTATCACAATTGACTAGCCACTAGCCAGGAAGCAGGAACACCAGCTAGCTACTTGCGCTGCGTGCCTGCCTGCCGCGCATTGGACGATGTTGAAGCGCCCGGAAGTTTCGCCAGCGGCACGTGTAATGGGTTCGATTCCGGATTTGGCACAAAATTTGTGTTACATACCTATATAACGCTCACACTGTGGCAGGTGTCACACTCCAGACTATCCGATCCGCGGCTCTCGGTCCGCGCATGCGCGTCGCGCAAGCAAACACGCATTGTCGTTAATGTCGTTCTAGGCCTCTGATGGCAGCATGCGGACATGCGCCAACCTGCGTGTGGGTCACCGGCGGTTTTTCCACGTGTTCGCATGGGGCTGCTTGTGTCGAACTCAACCACTCACCCACATTTTAACCAGAGACGAAACTCATCGCGCGAACCTATACCTAAGTCCTCAATCTCGGCAATCTCCAAGGCCAGCCTTTTCTGAATGAGCTGTTCCCGTACTCTGCCTAGTTCTTCTTCAGCTTTATACTCGGTGCGGAGACGAAGCGCTTTGCCGCTGAGGTGGCTCGATCGCGATCCGGTCGATGTGGCGGCAACACCTTCACTAGGTACGCGACACAGCACCGTAGGTACACACGTAATTTCCGTACCGGGACGCTCAGTTTCGTTATGAGCTTTGCTTTGTGTTACGACACCAGAGACTTTAGCATTCATTGTGAATTGTGATCCGGCTCGAAGGACCAGTGTAACAGACTAGGGCTGGATGTTTCCACAACGAATTAAAAAACCGAGAAAATTGGCGGGAACGCGGAGCGTAAAACACGCTCATTCATTCAACGTTTCGGTGGCGATTGTTTGCGTACTGTTATATCCCTGATATGTAAGGGTTTATGCTGGGATGACATAAAACTACATCGTCATCATTATTATATCTTAGCGTGTAAGGTGGCATGCCAGACCCCTCAGTCTGGACAAGATCTCCGAACGGTACGGTTGTATACTCAGTCCTTTAACTAATTAAAATAGTTCTAATATAAAATTAGTTTTTTTTAAAAAGAAATCCTAAAGGACTCTCGTAACAGTACGTGGCGCGGCGCGGAGCCCGCTCGTTCGAGGCGTGGGCGGGGCTTCGAATTTCGAATTTTGGCGCGAACGCAAATTCATTTAGGTATCACCATTTTTCTCATCGCGCTACAAAGGAGGTTTTTAACATTAGAGTTGCCTACAGAGTATATCTCATGATAGCGTATAGTTATTAAGCGAATATCAAAAGATCTTTAATAGGGCCTTTTTTAGTTAAATTCTATTCGTAGGTATAAAACTTATTATCTTCATAGTCCAAAAAAAACAACGACATTAACAGGTTATAATTTATGAAATTTATGAATTATTTATGACCAAAAATCAAAGTGTAATATTAAACATGATCGGGAAATGAGTCATGAGTTATTGTTTATATGTATAGTTGAGATTATTAACTCGTCGAGTACCGTCATTATAGACACAATTATAGAACAATAGGTTGCGGTCAATGGTGACCGCTTGGTGTTTGACAGTTTAACCAAATCAATTGTATATACTATAAAAAAATAAATACAATAATTATGAACTTTGAGAACCTCAGAATATCTTCACGTGGATCACGTGCATTACCTACATGCGTCACCAAGAAATATTGTGTGAGGATAATAATACTACGGTGACATCAAACTAAATTATATGTTTCTACTAACTGGAATCTATTACCCAGATATTTATCTCACTCGACTCTGTTATTTAACAATTACATATTGTAATTGTTAAGAAAAAATATAATATCTGTATTAATTATATTGTGTTGGCAAATTTATATTGGTATTTGTTAAAATGGAATAATTAGAGAATATAATAATCATTCATATTTCACAATGAGTAGGTATAGTATAATATGATAATAGATAGACTAGTCGAATTCCTCGTCAAACAGTTATGTGAGTAAGCCGAAAACATAATAATTAATAATAGATATACCTAGTATGATTTTAATTTTTTGCAATATACAATTTGAGATCTGTGACTTAGTACCTTTTCACACGGACCGGTTGCCGGGTAACCGGCGCAGTGTATGGCCATGTACAATATAGCTTTCACACGTACCGGCGCAATTTGTAATACACTGCTCCGCCGGATACCCGACGCCGACTTCCCGGCAACGGCAACGTGTGAAAAGGTACTTATAATTGATAACATTTCAAGAAAGTCAGACTTATCCTATTGTCTGTCGATATATGGGACACAATATAAAACATATTGTGTCTCGCTTAGACCGACACGCGGTCCGACACTTCATAGGATACCAGAAAATAATAACTGTCACATACCTATGCTGAAACTTATCAGGCCATGATGCGGAGCGAGGGGGACTGGCATGCAGTCTCCTCCTTTTGCGAAGCAGTCATGCTAGCTAAGGAGGAGGCGGGACGCGTGAGGCAGCGAAGCGCTGCCTCCTCGCAACCCAGCCATCGCGAAGGACACACCGGGCGTCGGGGATCGCAGGACGATCTCCGGCCACCGTAAGCGCGGGCCTGCGGACGGCGAGCATGGGTGGCTGTCCGTCCGACCAGAAACAGACCCGAGCGTACGGCGCGTCGCGTTTCGCGCCACCACAGATGGGGCCCAATAGGGCCGATGCCGATTCGGAGTCGCGGAAAACCTAACGGGTAACCGGGGCTCCGGCTCGACGTGCAGGAGAAGGAACGGGGTGGTTTTTAGTCAGTAAGAGTCTGACACTCCCTCCCGCCTCACCCAGGTGATTCGATGATTTTCTCCCCTTAAAAAAAATGCTGAAACTTATACTAATTTTTAAAACCAACTAATTCTAATTTTAATGATCCTAGAAAAACTGGCCCACCGTCTGCTAGAAACGAAATGTCTTAGTTACAACTCTGTCGAAGTAAGATCACGTAGGATCAGATTGCATAAATGGAAAACCAGGACGGATATTGCAAAGATAATGAAAATACGGGGTGTTGTAAAATGACGAACTGTGCAATCATAATGTTCTTAGGCTTTGAGCAATAGATTAGGTACTTAACGACTTAAGTACTTGTTTTG